ATGCATTGTGCAAAATAAAAATATCACCCTGAAAAAATTTCGTTCTAATGATAGAATTTTCGCTTACTGTCAATTTCAATGGTTCCTGGGGGTGACCTTAAATATGTTAATTAATTGATGCTAACTATTAATCGAGTTACGAAGTCTGACACAAAAACGAATAAACAGCTAACTCTGAATAAACAGCTAATTTTTTACATGTTTGGACCCTCAAAATAGGGGAACGGTAGCAGCAATCTGGAAATTGTGGTACCAATATTTCAGTCAAGACAGCGATTGAAAATTTGGTCCCGTTAATGTTAATTTCACTTTTTGAGTTTTAGGACAGATCTTTAAAACTAATTGCGCAATTTAAGAAGAATTGCACCCACTTATGAAACTCGTTTACCCTAAGATAATTGCATGCGAAAAAAATTACTTTTTAATAATTGTTTTTTATCATTTAATACTGGAAGAAAAATATTTGAATTATGATCCATAAATATTTTTTATATTACATTAATTTGAGCTGCAATGTTTCGGGGGATAGAGCGCTCGCCTTCCAATGAGGCGAACCGGGTTCGAATCTAGCCGCATCTGGCTTGCACCGACCACAGTGCTGACGTGAAATATCCTTAGTGGTAGACGGATCGTGGGTTAGAGTCCCCTTGCCTTCAGGCTAACAGTTGGTGGTTCTCGTGGTCTTCCTCTCCATGTAACGCAAATGCGGTTAGCTCCATCAAAAAGTCCTCCACGAAGGCAAATTTCTCCCAATGCTCGATGCAGGAGATCCCTTGTCTTCTGGATTGGGCTCAAAACTACAAGACTACGAAGTTGAACATTAATAGTCATAAACCCCTTAAAATTGTCAGCTGTTCAACGACGGTTATAAAATATTATATTAATCTACGTATTCCGAAGAAAAATCTGAAGTTTTCATTTATTGTTTTCATTTACTTAGTAGAAGCTGAGAAAATTAGAATTAATTATTTTTAAAAAACAACTTGTTGACAATGAAAAAAATATTTAAATGGAATGATTAATGCCTATATTTGGTAAACTTACAAAGAACTTGACTTACGTAAGCCTAGCGTAAATTTCATTCATGATTTTTCGGTGTTTTGATTAGATATCGTTTTCTTTTTTTTAAACATAAAATACGTTTTTTTTTAAAATCGTCTGCGAATTTATTCTTAATTTAGTAAAAAGATTTGAATAAAATATTATTTAACGAATGTCAAGTTTTATAAAAGTGTGTTTTTAATTGAATGTGGTTATGCATCTGCTTTTTTAAATTTGTTTTTGATTCATTCCACAATTGATTCAATCTCAGTAATATACATAAGTATGCATTTATCAGGAATAATATATTTATGAATAATGTATTTATGAATTATTCAATGTATGCCTTTACAACTAAACAATAAAACTATAAGGGAAGATACTACACTGCTCAAAAAAATTAGGGGAGCAAGCAAAGAAAGTAAGAAAATCGTGCGAGACATCCACAGAGCTGCATGAAATGGATAGTGCATACGTATCAATGAGCGATACAGAAAAAAAGACGTAAGAACATATTGAATTAATCTTTAATTCTAGGAAATTATGGAAAAAAGCAAAAAGCCGATTTAAGACAACAATTGGTTTACATGTAAACGATAAAAAAAGTAATGTTTGGAAATGATGCAGTACTGTTAATAAGGCGTGTGGTCTCTTCGGACAGCTAAGACTGCTGCACACCTGTTTCCCATGGATGCGATGATGGTATCGATGAGAGTTTGGGGAATACAGTTTCACTCTTCAAGAAGGGCAATCTCCAAATCACGGAGAGTTAATGGAGGCCTTGGTCTCGCAGCAATGCGTCGCCCGAGCACGTCCCAAACATATTCGATTGGATTCAGGTCAGGAGAGCACGCTGGCCATTCCATGCGCTGTATTGTTTCAGCTTCCAGCATGTTCTCCACAAGGCGAGCTGTATGTGGTCTTGCATTATCATCTTGTAAAACAAAGGAATCTCCACTGGCTGCTGCGTAGGGTATGACATGAGGTCTCAATATCTCGTCTGCATATCTGCGGGCCGTCAAAGTACCGTTCCGAATGATATGCAGGTCCATATGTCCGCCTATGATTATTCCACTCCACGCCATCCAACCAGCTCGTCTGTAGTGTGACCTTTCACGAATGAAAGTGGGGTTATTTCGAGTACCCCTTTCCCTCAAACCAAAACACGTTGGGTGTCACTCTCCAGACTGAATCGAGACTCGTCTGTAAACAATACGTGGCTCCAATCCCGTTGCTCCCAATCTTGATGTTCAGCAGCCAATCTTCTGCGAGCCGCACGGTGGCTTGAGGTCAATGGAATGCAGACCATGGGCCTACGAGCATAGAGACCTCCCTGATGGAGCCTATTCCGTATTGTTTGGGTGGAAACTCTTCGTCCTGTTGCCACGAAAAACTGTCTTTGCAGCTGAGTAGCATTGTCTGTTCTGTTACGACAAGCTGTTAACTGTATATACCGGTCATCAGCTGCAGTTGTTGCACGTGTCTGACCTTGCCCCGGCCGACTACTCACATTTCCAGTCTCTTGGAATCGATTCCACAGCCTTGCAACGACACTTCTGCTGACTCCAACAGCGTCCGCCACACTGCGCTGTGTTTGCCCGGATTCCAGTCTGCCGATGATACTCCATGCAATGGATTCAAGTAAATCACGTTGTTGAGACATTTTCAAGTCACCCTTTCTCGAAAACAATAACTGAGAAATCAACTTTCTGAGTTACGGCAGTGAAACAGGCGTCTCTGCTACATCCCGATTTCTGCTCTTATCTTCTTTTCTGGTTTGTGACGTCATTAACTTTTATTTGCATATGAAGTTTTCTTTTTCTTTTTCCTGCTCGGTCGTACATTATAAATTATTACTTTTCTGTAATTTATTGGTGTAAATATTTGCGTAATTTCATTAAAACCACGTGCTCCCCTAATTTTTTTGAGCAGTGTAGTTAAGTAAAAGGTATCTTTATATCATCTCTAATACCTTTCTATCTACGATATAAAGGTCGACTATCTGGAATCCTGTAGATGTTTTTAAAAGTAATTAGAGTGTAAAGATTCTGACCATAAAGATCTTTTGAATACGCATCCAAAATTTATAAGCCTTTTAAAATATCTCAGTATCTTATATGTCATCCTAAGATCTTACCTTTAAATTACCTGGGCATGTGTGTTTCGCAGAATTATTCAACGAATTATTTCATTGTATTTTTACATTTTTCAAATTCTCTTTATGTTAACATGTAGATTTTTTCCGAAAATATACTAATCTATTTTGTTTAATTTTTATTAATTAATTTTCATTAAATTGACACCCGCACACTTTAAATTAGCTATGGTTTCGTGTCTCAGAGCTATAGCCAGTTAACTGATAAGAAATAAATATTTTGCTATATTACAATTACTCGGGGCAAAACGTCTGACTGATCACATTAATTCATTTCAATAAATGTTCATTGTTCAATTGAGTTTGTCTTATTTCAGCCATGCAGCCGAATTTAAAAGCAGTATTTTTTTTGGGGGGGGGGAGGGTATTCGCTTGAAATTGTATTATCTCTACCGAAATAGACTGAATATGCATAAGCAAGCTATAATCCACAACACAATATTAGCTATCGGGATTGCTTTATTATTTTGCACACTTTGCTATCTGTGATGCGTCCTTAACTTCTCTCCCAAACATTAAATTTTTTCTTAAATTATTTTTTCCACTCAAAAATCCGCAATCTGCAAGCTTTAGACGAACTTTTATACTGTAACAGGGTTCAGCTTTTATGTCTTGCGCTAAAATCATATTTCACGAATTATACTTGCAAGAGCTTATTTTTTAGCATTGTGGTGTCAATTGAGTGATGCTATGCAATGGTCATGAAAACAAGCAAGTGGACAAGAGTATAGTTTGTCTAAGGTAAGAACTCCCCTAGCCATTCGTCTGAACCCGTGGCGGTGACCATGGTAACGAGATATAACTACTTCAAGTAGAGGTGTGGGGTCGGCGAAAAAACGGGAAACTTTTTCTTCTGTCTATTGTGTAAGCTTTAGGGAGAAAAGAAGCTACTCTCCCTGAAATGCGCTATTCTTGTTTCCATAGCAGCAGACGGCCTCGGACTTTGTGACGGAGGGAGTTCTTACCGTAGACAAACTATGTACCTTCCAATATTCCCTATGCCCTAAATTTATTTACATTGTTACAGTTATTTTTCCTCAAAATTATAAATATTGAAAACAATGTAATCAAATAAATAGTTGGGGCGACGTGTCGAAGCCTTGAACTGGATAGTTCGAAAAAATTAACAGTTGAGCAAAAGTATACAACTTTGAGCACAGCAAACTACTGTGAGCACAGCAAACTACTGTGAGCACAGTAAACTACTTTGAGCACAGCAAACTACTTTGAGCACAGCAAACTACTTTGAGCAAAGTAAACTACTTTGAGCAAAGCAAACTACTTTGAGCAAACCCAACTACTTTGGGCAAAACAAACCACTTTGGGCAAAACAAACCACTTTGGACAAAATAAACCACTTTGGACAAAACAAACCACTTTGGACAAAACAAACCACTTTGGACAAAACAAACCACTTTGGATAAAACAAACCACTTTGGACAAAACAAACCACTTTGGACAAAACAAACCACTTTGGACGAAACAAACCACTTTGGACGAAACAAACCACTTTGGACAAAACAAACCACTTTGGACAAAACAAATCACTTTGGACAAAACGAATCACTTTGGACAAAACGAATCACTTCGAGCAAAACAAATCTCTTCGAGCAAAACAAATCGCTTTGAGCAAAACAAACTACTTTGAGCAAAACAAACTATTTTGAGCAAAACAAACTACTTTGAGCAAAACAAACTACTTTGAGCAAAACAAACTAATTTGAGCAAAACAAACTCCTTTGAGTTCATTCCACTGATTCTTACTTTTAGAATGCACCCGATGTATATTTATTTTATTTTTCAGATATTCTTGAAGATGAATGCAAAGTTGGAAATGAGATTATTATTTATAATGCTTCAAATTTGGGAGCAGCTGGAAAAATAATAGCGACGCTAAGTCCTCCTTATCAGATGAACAAAAATTGTAAAATAATTATAAATCCACCAGTTGGCTTTGGAGTTGTAGTTAGCATACAAAAAATTGATTTTAGGCAGCCGTCTTTCTATTGTTTGGATTATTTAAAAGTAAGTAACATTTTATCGCAACTCTTAAAGCTGCAAAATATTTTGTCAAAATCCAGAGAGAAAAAAAAGAATCACTGTTAAATTTCGCGAGTTCTTGATAGTCAAAACTTAATATGTATCAGAGCAAGATTCATTTCTAAACGGTATGGTTTTACATTATTAACTATATATTTCCGATTTAGCTTCTTTGACTTGTTCATTTCGTACGAAAGTTCTTGTTCAAACGTATATAAGCTAGTTTTTCGTTCAGCGTTACGGAAAATACTGATCTTTCCCTGTTGATTTCTCTGAAAGGACATTCTTTCATATATTATTTCACAGGTAAATCAAGTTTCGGATATTATTTCAAGAACTCAGTTCAGTGGAGCACCCAAGATAGGGTTTTCAGGGATTAAACTCCTCCTAAGAACTATAAACATTTTTTTTCTTCTTTTAATCATTAATTTGTTTCTGAAATTCATCGGTAAGAAAACTTTTTCTTAAAACTAGGCTTTATTTGAGAAAGGAAGTTAAATATTCTTTCTTATTGAGTAAAGAATCTCCAAGCAGAATATATTAAAAAAGTTCGATAGGTTTTTTCTTTTCTTTTAATCCCTTTTCTTTTTCGAAATGATATTTCATTATGTAGGAGGGAAACACGATTTTAAAAACCAAATAAGTGTAGAATAAGATAATTTGGTGCGTTGAACAGAATTCACACAGCACCATTATTCATCAGTTTCTTTTATTATGTGAAATGCAACTTGCTTGTATGTGCATGCATCAAGTGGTAAAATACGCCTTGCTAGCTTTTAACTTCCTTGCAATAATCGAGAAATACAATTAGAATATATTTCTTTGGAATATAATCAGGAAATAAAATTTTAACATCTTTAAATCATTGATCTTTTTCGATAACAATATTGATTCTGAAGTTAGCAACGAAAAAGGGGGGGGGGAGTAATACTAGCATAGCATCGTTTCTTACAAGCATCGTTCAAAATGAGTTAGAAAATAGATAGTCAGATATCATTGCCCACAACTATACAGATATTACGTGGTTGGACCATGACCATGGTTAGACTGTACAGTCCTGAAAAGATTTGAATTCTATCTACCCTCCTTCAATGGGATTGGACAAGATTTTGGATTGCATATTGAATCCAAAAACCGGGTAAAAATTTTGGATTTTTTCAATGGTATATGAATTTTAAATCAGATAAAAAGGATTAAATTATGAAAATAATGTTTTTAGAATAAATTTAGCGAACCATTAGATAAAAATACAATTAGATAAAATCAAAACCAGTGCACCGGAAAAAATATTTTTTGCAAGACCCATTTACAAAAAGCCACTTAAGAATTTTGTGTAAGCATCTCGTGCTTTAGTTTTCATTATTTTATTAGGTATTCAAATCATTATTAAAGTTTATAATAGTTATTATAAGTTTAATTATTAAATTTGATATTCAAATACGGTCCCAATAACTTTTTCACGATAGCGGTTGCAAGTTCGGACCCCTTAATAATCACGAAAGCGGTTAACCTGTCGGCAAAGGGATTCTAATCATGATCCATCTACCACTTAGGATATTTTACGTCAGCTGTGTGGTCGGTGCGAACCGGAAGCAGAACTCACAAAAACCATCCACAGCTGGGATTCGAGCCTGGGCTACCCAATTGTGAGGTGAACGTTATATTTCTTGAGCCACCATGACTCAATAATATTTACAATATTTAAGTGTTCATCATTCTTAAAAGTAAAACCAAGATTATAAATTTTTGAAACCCCCTAGAATGATTTTCTGGGTGCTTTACTCTGTAAACTATTTTATTCTGTAAATTGTACTGTGTCTCCTGAATATTTTACTTTATTCTGTATTTACTTTATTCACATTTTTCACTTACATGTTTATTCATGTATAGCTTATTTTGAAAAAAGTTTTGCTTATATTTTTAGATCTATCACTCTGATACTTTCTTTTCTCCAACAACTTTATGTCGATTCAAATTTGATCTCAAAGAAAATTTAAGTTATTATTCAAAAGGAAGAATGGAAATGATTTATCATGTTCAATCTAAATTGAGTGATGGATTAAACATTGAAGAAGGATTTTCACTCACATTTACCATTGTATCTGAAGGTAAGTTGGATCCAACATAATCTGTTTCTTTTATACTCATCAGGACAATTTAACACTAAAAATATCAACACTTAATCCATTCCCATTTCTACCATAGTCGGTCAAATCACCGGACTTTGTTTCTTGATTGAATGAATGAAATATGGATGTTAAGAAGGAAATAAACTAAAAATAACTTTATTATAATTAAGCAAAATTGCACATTGCCAATTTTTATGTATTGCAAACACAAAGAATAAGAATTTTGAATTCATTGCGAATTTTTACGTATATGGGTGTTTCCGCTGTACATTTTCCGAAAACATATTTTTTCTAATTATTATTTCGATAATTATTATAACTATTCTTATAATTATAAGAATATATAAAAATTAAAATTCTTATAATTAGTATTATTTCTTCTAAGAACTTGTGTTGTCTTGATTGTTTCAGCATCTTTCTGGGTAAAAACTGACAGTTAGAATTGAAGTAAAGCTATCAAAGTAAAATATAAGCTACTTACCAAAACATTTAGTTTTCGTTACTTCTTCTTACGCAAAAAATTCAATCTAAAATGTTAGGTACTTTCTTGAAATTTGAATTCAGTTATTCTGATTGAACTAACTACGCAACAAGCTTTGCAGAAATGTGCAACTAATCGAATGCAATACGTTGAACACGCATTACATCGTATTTCTGATTCGATAACCTTATAAAGCAATAAATTATTCTCCCTGTCAAATAGCCGGTTGTGGTAGAAATAGGTGAACGGCAAGTATTGTTCGAAACAAAAAAAAACACACACACATATATATATACAAAATATTAACTATATATATATATANAACGGTCATTTGACAGGTTATGGTATGTTTAGTGTTAAGAAAGATGGATTGATTAACGATTTTTTTACGGCATGATTACAATTTTTATCTTTTAATCTTTATCTATTTCACAAAATTCTTATGGAGCAGACGATGTCTTTAATTCATAAATTTGAAACTAAAATCCTTTAAAAGAGATGTTTATCGAGTTTATTTTTCTTTTTTTATTTTTTTTTTATTTACAATAATAGGATCTTATTTTTTCACTAAAAAAAAACAGAACCCTAACAGAATATTCTTAGTTCTACGATAAGTTAGATTCAGAAAATTATGAGTAAACTTTTCCAAGTTCACAAAAACAGAATTTTTCACAGAAAGTTTGGACAGAATCCTGGTTTTTGTGATCTTCTACAAAATAAGAATTCTAATTTCACAAAATGAGTATATTTATCACAATTTCTCAACAAGTCTGGAATAGCACCAGATCATAAACATATCTTGTACTATTTGTTTACATAACTATCTTTAAAAAAATTTAGCATTTTTACATTTTTACATGTGTTATAGGAAATAAAAAAATCCATTGTTTAAAAATTAACAGCTAATTTTGAATTTAACCTGATTTAGAAATATTTAAAAGTGAGTCTATCGACATTGTAAAGTTGATGTTTTTTTGTAGTGAATTGACCTCCTTTTCTTTAAAAAAAAAAGAATCATTTCGAATTACGAAGTTTGGATATTAGTCGATCAGTAAATTTCGAGCTTTAAATTCAGTCGATTCTTTCAAGTTGTTAAGTATAACAAAATCGAAACGTTTAAAACCATATTAACTTTCGTTCATATCTTATGTTTAGAAAACTTCTAATTATGCAGCCTGAAATAGAGGGGTGCGACAACAGTGAATAAACCAAAAAATATCTTTTGCGCAGTAGGGAAGAAAAAGGCGAAGTCTTCAATAACTTTTGATCTGTCGGTTTTTTACTCGTAGGATTTAATGGTTACAAAGATATTATCCATGCAAAAAACTATTTTTTAACATAATTTTTTCATTTAATAATGGTAGTCGAAAGAATTTTAATTTTTTGAGGATCAAAAATCCGATTCTGTTGGAAAAAAAGGCATCCTTAAAAATAATCACAGGAAGAAAAAAAAATTTGTGCATGATTTGGTAACTTTATATACATCGTCTGCACAAATTAATGTTAGTCACTCAATTAATGTTAGTCACTCAAAACATTAAGATTGTATTCTAGTACGCAAAAATCCGATCATTCGATCAAAAGTTATGGTGTTTTCTTTATATTATGCGCATGATATGTTTGATAGTTATCACCTCTTTATTTATAACTTATATTTTTAACATCTTACTGCATACCATCGATGCAAAAAATAAATAATTAAATGTGCAAATTATCGTGGATCAGTCTGGAGCAGACAAAATAAGACAGAATGTCAAAATATGAATCCCACATGGAAAAAAAATTATAGGGCAGAATATTCCATGGCAACATTGAAGTTAATATTTGTAACATTTTACACTTTTAAGAATTTTAAAAAAATGGATAAATCAGAAATTGCATTTTTCTTCAACGAAAAGTGAGAATTTTCTGTTCTATATATGAATCTGAAAAAAAGTTATTGATTTGCACTAAGAAATGTCATTGATCTGTACTAAAAAATGTTTACTAAAGAAAAACATGTGTGTTGAAGTATGTCTCATTATTATTAAAAAGTTATTGCTGTCTTGGTCGCCGTTGATTCTTACTCTCATTACGCAAAAATTATTAATGGGTCACAGTACCTAAAAAATGACCAAAATATCTATATTTTTTTATTGCTTATAATAAAACTTCAAACTATTTCTAATGCACTGAAAAAAAAATTATCTATCTAAATTTTTCAAAAAGTTATGAATGATTTTATATTGCCCTAAAACAGAAACTTGAAGAGCAGACAGACTTTAAAGTGTTTTTTCTCATAGATGATAATTTTGTGTTTTAATCTTAAATCCTTAAGGAATTTTTTCTATTTAAGATAAAGCTTTGAAGTAAACTTTTTTATCTTAAGTATAATATACTTATTTAAATTGTGCATGGAATGAGCTTTTTATGAGGTATTACAATTTTTACAGCGTGTTATATATACCTAACAGGAATTTTTAACCTTTTCTACTTTTTTACAAAATAATCTATAAAAAATATTCTAATTGATATATCAACAAATGAAAGCGCAAAATTGTTAAGATGAATATTGTAGGTACAAAGAAAGAAATTTTTTAAAAAGTTGAAATAAAAAAAGCCTTAAGGATTTAAAAATGTTGAATTTTTTCAATTTTCGTCTTAATTTTGAAAATTTAAGGAGTTTAACTATTTTTGCAGTTATTATTGATTATAATTAAATGAGCATGTAAAGTATCCACAAAATGAATGATTATACCTTTATTTTAAAAAAATTTTGCTGGGGTACTGCGACCCTTTAAATGGAAAAATAGGAAGCACATTGTCTCGCAATATTTAAGGAACATTCTGACATGAAAATGTGTACATTAGTTTTGAATAACTTTACGTTAAGGTTGAAATTAATTTTCACCGTGTTATTCAACGAATCGTGAATTTTTGCTGCTACGTATTCTTAAGTATTTGAAGCTGTGCAACACGTCTTCCTTTTTTTTCCTTTAAAAAAATTTTGAATTAGTTTTGCTTGTGATTCTATTTCGTTATCGGTAATTTCATTCTCAGCTTTTGTCAGCGAAATTACTTTATGTGATTCTGATAGGTCAACTAGAAAGATGAATGGAGTCTCTAATTTTATTTAAAATAAAAGTTAAAGGAATTTGGGAATAAAAGAATTACGTGAAATGAGAGGACTAGCTATTTGAAACGTACTTCGAGTAAGAGCGAGCATGGGGTAGCATACTAATACTATAAATAAAAACTAATAAATCCTAAAAAGACAGCTCAGCAGTCATATCTGCTACATCAAGTTTTTTTGCTTTCTTGGAAAAATAACAAAGAAAACTTATAAAATTCAGATTTATTAAAATAACTTACAATTGAATCGATAAGTTAGATTATCTGCAGTGGGACATCCTGCTAATTTGACTCATTGATTCAAAAATTTTCTTTATCAATTCCATTTTTATAGATATCTTAATTTTGTGAGATTTTAGTGACATATGATGAATAAACTTTGTTCACTATTGTGCTACTTTAAGAAGAAAAATTTTATATTGATGTTGTACTTATAATATGTTTATTGTGAATATTTATACTTTTAGATATACAAGATTGTCTGAAAACATCTATGTATATGTGTGATAACGGAAGATGTATTCCCAAAAATTTAACATGTGATATGAAAAATAACTGCGGAGATAACAGTGATGAAACTTATCTTTTATGTGGTATGTCTGACACATCTCTTAATTACAGTTACTGTTAGTGACATTTTCATTAAAAATTATAAAATTTTGCGAAAATTGAAATGTTTCCGATGCATTACTGATACATTTTAGGCTGTGTGTTATTAAAAATTCTTAGATTCAAAAATCTATCAAAAATCAAATTTTAAAACCATTTTTTTTACCATTTTAGATTCATCTGGTCATAATTTGATACAAATATCAGACGTCATGTACGGTGTGGTGGTCTGCCTCTTTGTTTTTATCATGTTCTCATCCTGGGCAGTGATAGTTTCCCGAAAACGAAGACGCCATCATGACACTGACTCTACTTCAGATTCTGATGAACCAACAACTAGAATTACGCCTTACCAATCTGTTCATCCTCAGGGATTTTTTATCTGTCAAAATCCAGCTGGACCAAGAACTCCTTATTTTCAACATTCAAAAATTATACACTCTGAGGGAGGCTTTACAAATCCTTGCTATCCTACTGGAGTACCTCAGGCACCTCCTCCCTACAGCCAATGATTTTTTTTTTCCTTCATCATCAAATATGAACTGCTTGTGGACTTTTCATTCAAGCTTTATATCCAAAATTTTTAAAGAATTCCAAATGTTTTTGTAATAGCAACAGTTGTTGAATGCATTTTCGTAAAAAAAAAATAATAATAAATAAAAATAAAATAGTAAAATTGCTCTCATTTTTTCAAACAATTCATTCATGGTTGCCCGCTCTCCCAAATTTAAAAACGCGTTCATCGAAAAGGATCAGTTTTTTAGCATTATTTGGTATATCCCCTACCGACTTCCCTTAAAAATGTTGGTAAAATTATTTTCCAACTTTAGCGAAATTCACAAAATATTATTGTAGTATAATTTGTTATTAGGAAAATAACTTATTTTGTTAAAGAGCAAATGCTGGAAAATGGAAGATTGAAAAAAGCCGTGCTATTTTGAGAATCCACATCTCAACAATCTCTAATCTTTTTCTTCCCCACTAAAATAGGATATATTGAGACATTTTTAGAATGCAAATTATTTTATGGCTGTAATAGGTATTTTCAGTTAATTATTTTTAACCCTTTCTCTGCGTATCTCTCGATTTTCGCGTGCAAAGTAGAATTAGTGAAATTTGAGCAACCTACAATTTCCGTGGGGAGGGATTTTTCCAATCTATTTGACTGTGCAATCCACTTTTCCCGATCGTGGTTTCATTTCGGCTTTTCTGTGATGTTTAATTGTTTATTCAAGCCTGGGATTACAGATGCCACTAGTTGGCCACAGTTCTGTGAAATATACAAGCATGTCTTGAAACATTTTAGGGCTCTTTTCAAAGTGTTTTTCGTCAATTCCAGAATCGAAATCGGTTTGAACAAAACATTTTATTGATCGTGAACTAAAACGAGAATCGATTGAACTATTATTATTTATTTAAGCTTATTCCATTAATATGTTGAAAGCAGCATCAAGAATACAACGATATACGTTTAAAAACGTGTTTAACTATAAATTCATTGAATCATATGTTGTTGACGTATTCCTGTTAAGACAGAGGGTTGCGAATGCTCTTGTTTTCCAGTTGTGCCATCTGTGACCAAGAATTCGACTTCTGCTACACCCAAGCGTCACGTCCGCTTATAGGGCGTGCCCATTCATTCCTTCATCCGCAGTTCGTAATATTGACCTGAAGCAGAGAGCGATCAATCTCCAATTCAGTACCCCCAGAGGTTTTGATTTGTTATGGGAACATGGATGACTTTGCGACTCGATTGATTTAGCGTGCATCAGTCACTATTTTACTACACGGGGAGTCTTCGGCCGGCGGGGTTCGAACCCACGAACTCTGATACATGGGCCCAGCGCCCTACCAAGCAGGCTATCCCGGCCCATTAAATCATGCAGCTTGAATAATTTTAACCAAATAAGAAAGAGAATGAGGGGTGTAGAAATTAACTCTATTGGAGTACGCCTAAAGTGTACCCTAAAATATATCTAGAATAAATTTTGGAATTGATAAATAAAATAAAAAATTCAAACAACTTAGAATAGGACAGAGACGTTAACTTGTTTAAAATTATTGTCCTTGTAACTATTTAGCTTTGATTCCTGGGGTCATTCCATTCTGCTAAGGGACATTCCATTAATTGCCTCAATCGACTTAAGAAATTTCAGTTGTAATACGAAATATTTTGATGTCCTTAAAAAATATTTTCAAGTCTAGTAGTAAAAAAAATGTACTGCATTTTTTTAGAAAGTTGTGACTAATTAGTCTTTTAATCTAGGAGCTTATACCATTATCTTGCGTGAAACTTGTTTCATATCGCTCGAAGTAATTTAATATATTTTGTTACGAAATAAATAATCTCAATAAACTGAAGCGAAGACATAAAAACATCATTAAGTAAAAAAAAATATGAAGAAGATAATAAAAGTAGACTTGTTTTGAGAGTTGAAAAATTCACGTCGGAAGACATTCCTGCTTGGCGAGTCTTGAAAATGGGAGCCTATTTTAGAGCGCTAGAGCCACGTCTACTTCCAGTTCCATCTTCCTATTTTTCTGAAGCCAATGCAGTTTTTTTTTCATCAATTACATTTGTTGCATTACTGTGTTACATTTGATATTTTGATAAAAAAATTTTATCTCGTAAAAGTAAACTAACTGTTTTCTAAAACTGTTTTCTAATGCTTTAACACGGTTCATGCGATCCTTAAAAAGTAAGAGAACTGTAGCATCAATACAGTAATCATAAAGTTATTCTTAGCTTTAAAATTGAAATTTGGAACCAGATAGTTTGGAGTTCATGAAATTGAACGTTATGGTAAATATAAACGTGATAAAATACATTTAATTATCCTAGTTTTGCGGCCACCATTTCGTTATCATAAGGATCTTATGAACTCTGTTTAAAAGGAGAGTATTGCATCATATATGTGTTGCGATGGTGAGAATCATAATACAAGTTTATAAATTATGGAGAGAAAAAAAAAACAAATCGGTGTAGCGATATTTGGTCATAAATGTAGCTAATCGTAATTGATGAATATGTTCATGGTGAATTTGCAAAAACCAAGTTTTTAAGAATGTATAGAAACATCAAGGTGCTATTTGCAGATCATCTTTGTCTAAAGAAGGCCATGACACTTAAGTATTTGGCAAAATGAAGCGATTTTTCAAACAATTAATAATACAATATCCAGCATATTATTCTCAAACTTATATAATTCAAGGTTTTTAAAGTGCCATTTAAAATTCTCAGATTTCTTCAATTGTAAAAAGAGAAATATCGTAAATTATATAAAACCTTGTGAATGTGCATAATAATTATCTCCTCCAGCTCTTCTTTTTTTTCTCTTTTTTTTTCAAAGGAGATTAAAAAGAAAACAAAATTTGCTTTTTAGTCAAACATCAGCCTAAAAATGCCATTTAAATGTCATTTACCTTTCTATTAACTATTAATACATAGACCTTTCCGAGCTAGATATCACAAAATTCTGAATAAAAAATCTTCAATTTTCAGTTCATTCTTTTTTCTATTGTCTCAACTTGGTTGCTTAGCAGAATAGAAAAATTGAATATTGCTCTCTTGAAATAGTTTATGGTCATCTTAATTTACCCCATTTGCGGAAGTGACATTGCTTGCCCCTTATTTGGGACTATCTACAAAAGTAAATAGTTCCCACTTTATGAACCAATTTTTTTCGTTTACAACTAAGTTTTGTCTACCCCTAATTTGAGAATCGAGAATTCAAATACGCAAAAAAATTTTAAAAAAAGTACATGTTTATTCAGAGAAAGCATGTTTTTCAGTTTGATTTCGTAACTTAATACTTAGCACTAATTAATTAACATATAAGATGTCACCCCCAGAAACCATTAATATGGAAATTTTGTTCGTGATAATCTGATCATTAGAACGTAAGTTATTCAGAGTGATATCTTTTTTGTTTTGTGCACTGCACATCTAAGTAGAGGAGGAGAGGGAAGGGAGGAGGCTCTAGACATGGAACCGCTCTTTTTCCCAGAAGGCGTATTCAAGTGTTGTGATCTCTAATATGTTAGAGTTGGTATTTAATTACTGTAGCGAAACCAAATTCATTTTCCAAATTATCATTTAGATTTAAATTTCGAAGTTAGTATATAATTGACAACGTAATAAATGTTTTAACTATTNAGTTTTCAGTTCCATATAGTTTTTCAAGTTAAAAGATTTTAATCTATGTGAAAATCAAGAGAGAAACTAACATACTTCCTTCCTCTATGACTTTTCACACGCTAATGGGGAAAGCATGTGAAGTGTTGCCATAGGAAAAGAGTTCTGCTCTACGCCACCTGTAGCCCATTTCGATCGCCAAATTGTAGCGAAACCAAATTCATTTTCCAAATTATCATTTAGATTTAAATTTCGAAGTTAGTATATAATTGACAACGTAATAAATGTTTTAACTATTTTCACCCCACAAATCTATCTTTTTCGATTTGATGTCTATTATCATATGAATGGTTGACTGAATGTAAACAATAAGAAGCTTCCTAAAACCAGTAGAAATTTAGAAAACTTCCGGTGAATCCCTACACTTGTGTTATGCTTACAAGGTGATGCTTGAACATCATGCTTAATATTCTAGGAAATTTTATTAATGTGATATGTGTTTAAATTTGCGCGTAACTTTACCATTCATAAGAGTTTTCTGTAATTTATAAATTCTAACTGGTTGTGAGCCTAAAATAAATTTCAGAATATTAATATTCCAACATAAATAAAGTGCAAGGTTTGCCATGTTGTTGAGTGTTATCCCTTATTTGGTTATATTTATGTAAAATATCCCGTTAGTTATTTCTTTTGGGGTGCATTTTGCAGGACATAGCATGCTTGCGGAAGCTTTCAAATTTTAGTGTTGTTTGTTTCGTTGAATCTTAAATGTAAAAAACACGTTATATGGATGGTGTTTTTGACACTAGGGAGCCCTGCAAGCTGTATGCCGCTTATATTTCGGGGTTACTGTTTCCGGTGTATTTTAAAGCCATCTCACAACGTGATCATTGTGTTTTAAGATTCTTGTAAACGTGGTGTTTTAATACTTTTTACTAAACTTAATCTTGCTCCTCGAACAATATGCTAACACTAACGTAAGATGGTGCCCAGCTTGCAACACGAACAAACAGTTATAAACAAATGTAAAGAGACCACATCAAGACTGCCAAAAAAGCGAGTTATTCAAAATCTAGCAACCATGTCACCTTTTTTAACAATATATCTCTAAATAACTAAAACAAATTTTCACTTCAAACTCACCAGAATTTCATAATGACATTAATATCTTATGAAGTAGGGCAGATTTGAGCTCAGAAATTATCTAATTTATTTCTTTTATTGAAAACAAAATCGATCCGTTTGAAAATATCGCCTCGCAGAATAACATGTAGTAAGCAGCTGCAAACTTTCTAACCGGAACTGAAGCAGGCATACAGCTCGAGATTGTTATTGTTTACATTTCTACCGAAAACACCATCCATTGAAAATGATTACTAGTATAATAATATTTGATGGCGTCTTTTTTCAAAGGCGTAAAAATCAATCGGAAGTTATAGTAACCCGGAATTTTAAAACGTTGTGCCATCTGTAATTAGCTTTACACGGTCATCCAATCCATAATTTCATCTATTTTCTCACGAAAAACTCTCCCAATCTGATTCAGGGCTTCTCCGACCAAGCGGTATCACCCAACAAAGGTTGTGCGAAGCGTGGAGGTAGCAGGTTCGAATCCCGCCGCAACCCTGGGTGTATTCTTCTGATGACTTTCTCTGAATTGTTTTATCTGTCCTTTTACTTGACAGAGGCTTAATAACCTACATTGAGCACACAAGCTTGCAAATCTATGTAATTCAAACAGAGCAAAAAACCAATCAGATTCGTCATCTCTCTCGACCATGATCGGAGTTGCTTGAATTGTATAAAATGAGAATGGCCCTTAAAAGTTTTGTCTTACAAGATGCGGTTTTCGCACCTCTGATCATCATCAAAGAAATATGACGATAAAATTGCTCAAATATGGGCAGTGTGCTGGTGGCTGACCACTTTCTTCAGTCTTCTAAGGAACCGAGGATTTGCGGTATCGGTCCTCGTTAAACTATTCAAATCGTGATTCTAAATCGTTGCTCAACTTTAAGCTCAGATCGACGGGCTACCAAAGAGAGCGATCCATGCTCTCTGCAGAATATCAAAATTGGAATGGTATATCTTGAATGTTTTCAAGACCGTCACCAATAGACCATTGTCAGCTCCAATGCGACGTAAACCAACAACAACATTCTCTTTTCAGTGAGAATGCTTTCTAAGAGGGCCATTTTGTTGAAGACTGCGCTACTAGAAAGCGAACACTTCGCGTATGCGTAAATTGCTTGTGTGTGGCATATGCGTAACTCGCATGAACAGGACGAGAAGTTAGTGAGAGAAGTCTGTATGAAAATTTGTAAAATCTGTTGGCGGCAAAGACTTCTGATTTTTCTTTTTCTTGGCATTATGATGAAAACGATTGAGAAACTAAAACCGAATAATTTTTAATGTTTGTATATTGCATTTAAATATAATTTGTTCTTAAGCTGACGTGTTATTTAAAAATTTGACCTAAACAATTTGAATGCTGCTTCAAGTGTAGAAATAAATTGTAGTTTCATTAGTTGTAATTTTTATTAAAAAAATTATGTATAATAAACGGAATTTAGATTTTGCTATAATTTTATTGTTACTGTATAAAGTTTCCTTTGGGAATAGCTTAAAAGGTGCTGTAAGTTTAGATTCATGGACTTTTGATAAAGTAAGTAGTTTTCAACATTTTCTGCAGAATTATCCCTTAGGGGCTTGACTTTTTGTCTTTTTTTTTTTTCAATATTCCTATACCGGCGGTTTAATGCCGGCGTCTCGTAAAATTATTTACTTATTGCATGCATTAAGGAAAAGTGGCCTTTTTATCTTATATTCATCAAATTTTCTTCTTTTATTGTTAATACAGAAGAATTTTTTTAGCTTTTAAAGTTTAAACGACTTAATATAAATTTTTTACACTATTACTTTCTGGGCTGTAAAATTACAAATAACCTAGAACATGCATTACAACTTTTTTTCCCTTAAAAAGATTTGTTGATTATTTAATATTATTTGACTTTAAATAGTTAAGATTAAGGATTTGTTTTCAGAGTAAAAACAAAAAAAAGAGTAGACATAACAGTTTGTGAAATAAGTATAAGGACGAAATTAATTTATATGAAAATATGCTTTATTTTTATTTCATCTAAATGAGACTTTAACATGCTCGACTTCTGTTACACAATTTTGTAATAACACTTATAGCACATAAAAAATAAATTTTGGCTTTTCAAATATGGATTTTGCAAAAATTAACACAAATCTAGAAAAAATATGAGCACATGTTTAAAAATACTTAAATTTTTCATCATTAATCAAAAAACTACCTTTTTTTCAATCAATTGAATAAGCGGAAAGGCGATAAGTTCTGAAAGATCTCTTAAAGTGTCCATAGAACCTTTTTACCAAATAATTATTATATGGAAAACAAGATCCTTTTTTCATTGATATTAAGTGGCATTTTTATATACTTCTCTGGCTAGAAGTTCCCATAAGTGTTCGATTAAATCAAAATTGGGATTCCTTGCCATTAAACCTATTAAATTTATAAAATTAGCTTTACACCAGAGTTATGCGCTTTTAGAAACATGTATCAAAGCATTTTCCTGGTGAAACATATTGTCCCTTGTATAGTAGATATAACAAAACTTCTCCTACCATATTAGTCAGAACTTATTTTACTGTTGATAAAGACTATTGGAGTGGTTCCATTTGCCGCAAAACTGCCCCAAGCCATCACTGAGCCAATACCATATTGACGTTTAGAAAACACTTCTTTAGTATTTCACAGATCATTCCAAAAATAATATAAACCATCAAATCTATCATGGCCTGGTGGCTGAGCGGTAGCGGTTCGCGCTGTCGTGCCACAGGTCCCTGGTTCGATCCTCGGGCCGGGCAAGGCTGACTCAGCCTTTCATCCCTTCAGTGGGTCTATAAATGAGTACCAAGCATGCTTGGGAACTAAACACTGGGGGTTCCGCGTTCGGCTGACCACCTGACCGGAACATCTGCTCCTGCACCCGAGAGCCCGAGGTCTAGAAAACTGAGATGGGCACAGTAGGCCTTGGCCCTCAGGGGCTGTCGCACCGCTGAGTTTATCAAATCTATCAAGATTGAACTTTTTCTTCATCAGAAAAAATTAAATCAGTCCATTTGTGACAAAGAGAAATATATTTTTTTGGCAAAGTCAACTCTTCTCTTTCGTTGATTTGTAAGAATATGGCATTCTACAAATTTTCCATAAAAAAGATTATGATGTTTATTTAAAATATTTTGTACAGTCCTTTATGGACATGGTGAATTCAGATTTTGTCTAACTTCATTTGCAGTTTCTTTTTTCTTCTTCTGGGAAGGCCCCTGATAATCATTATTTTCTGTTGATGAGTGCAAATGTCTGGTTTCCCTGTTTATTTTTTCATGCCATACATTCTAGGATTGTTTAGAAAATTATAAACTACTCTTTTAGATTTCTTGATTCTTTTTTAAATTTCCCATCCACGTAATCGACTTTCTCGAAAAGCAACAATTTTCCCTTTTTCCGAATCAGAAATGCGAGTTCCTTTGGGCATCATTCAAATATCACGATGAAAGTCGACGAGTGTGAAATTTCTTGCATGAACCAATTTTTTAGTTCTGATTGTCATTTTCTATTTTCGAATATACAAATTTTTCACTAATTAGGGAAAAAATAACAATGTCCTTATACTTTTTTCCAATATCATTTCGAATTAAAAATCAAAGTAAATTTAAACAGGTTTATGTTTGGAAATTTTAATTAGTTTACACAAGGAATAATTCAATTTTTCTCCTATTCGTATTTAAAAAATTTGCAGGTTCTGTAAATAAGGTTTCTAGAATTGGTGATTTTTCACTTTTCCTTATACTTTGTTTGCTCTCTCTATTGATAGTTTTTTAATATTTTGCCTGAAAAAAAGATGCTTTGTTTCTGACTATATGTTCTCTCTATGTAAAAATCTTATTCTATATTTTTTGGCTCTCAGCCAATTGCAGATTCTTATATATAACTAATATATACTTTTATAATAAATTAATATATATCTAACTAATATTTTCATTTTAAAGATGATATCTAAATTCAAAGCTTCATTAGTCAAGTTTGATATAACATATCCCTATGGTGAAAAAGAAGATGAATATGGAAAAGTTGCGGAATCTGCTCGATTTTCTCCTGATCTACTTGTTGCTGAAGTAGGAGTTCAGGGTTTGTATTATTGCATTAACTTTAAGTTGAATATCATGTTTGATTTTAAAATTTAATTGCCTGTTTCTATTATAACTAGTTTCATGTGATGATTTTTGCTTCATTCTAAAGTTTAAGCTATTTAATAAGTGAAAATTTGCACTGTTCAACTTTGCATCTTCACAAAAAAATTTAGACTCCTGAAATTTGGAATGTATAAATTAGAAGAAATGTTGTCTTTATAAAAAAATAATTTAATTAGCTAATAAAAGTCAAACCTGGATTCATCGTTCTTGCATATTTTGTTTTTCCCATAGGCACCCTCTTGTTTTAATGGTTCTCTCACATATATTATTCTTATAATATTAATATAGTAGACAATTAGTTAAATTTTTAACTTGTAAATTCCTATTTATATTTTTCAGAAATTCTATTGACATTTAAAAAAAAAAGATATTGAAGTTATTTCATCTTAAGGAAAGAAAAAAAATAGTAACTCCTGATGCTAATGGTGAAAAAAATGAAAATTTATTATAATTTAGAGAAAAATGCTTCTAAGAAAATTCTTGATGTTTATAAAATAATGAATGAAAATGCTCAAATTTATATTCTCAGTTTGAGAAATAGTTGCAGAAGCTGAAGAAGTGCAAAGGGGCAGCAAAAAAGATGGCAAAATGAAACCACATATTGTCCGTATTTGCGGAATGTTTTGAAGCTTTGAAACAACAAGACACTTTTTGCATTCACACAAACTTACCGAAAATGAGCAACAATCTGTTACAAATGTCGAAAATTTATTATTTAATCTAAGAAGGAAATAGTATGTTTAAATTACGATTTTCAAATATGTTAAGTAAATAAATGTGTTTATTCCTCATTCTTTTGCCTTACAAATAACTTTACATTAAGTGCAGAATTCTTTTAGTTAACATTTTTTATTGCTTTTTATACATTACTGCTTGCTTTTATTAATTTTCATACTTACTTTTTCATATTATCATGCTTACTATTCATACATTTTCAGATTATCATATGATATTTTATGCTAACCAACATTTTTCTATTTCTATTACTCGCAATGACTGGTTCTTTGAGGAATTATTAATCGAGTTACTACTTTAATAAATAATTTTTTTATATTTCCTGTTTTCAATGAAAAGTGTGTAATATTTTTTTAAAAATTTGAAAAATATTTAAGTATAAAATAATATGCTCATTTTATTATTTTCTGCCTTATTTTAAACTGAAAATCAACTTTTATTAAAATATTTTTCATAGATTTTTAATTTTATGTCATATACAGTCAATTCGCTATAACTCGAAGTATGATAACTCGAATATTACTATAACTCGATTTTTTTATGAGGTCCCGACCCTTTTATCTTCAATTTCATGTTAATTATTCTCGATTACTCGAATTTTACTCCCTTTAACTCGATTTTTTTTGGATCTTTTAAAGCAAGAAAAAAAACCTAGGAGCTGATATCTTGCCCCTTCCTTTGCAACACACACACAATGTCTTTCGCACTCTTCATGGAGAAGCTAAAGCTGTCCCTCTTGAAGTATGTGAACAGTGGTTAAATGAAACGTTACCAAATTTACTTCAAGGATACAGTTAAAATGATGTTTTCAATATTGATGAAATGGGTTTATTTTTTAAATGTCTTCCAAATAAGACTATGATGTTTAAGGATGAAAACTGCTCAGGGGGTAAAATGAGCAAGGAACGTTTGACTGTCCTAGTTGGAGGAAATGCGTCTGGGACAGAGAAATTGCCCTTACTTGTTATCGGAAAATACCGAAATCCCCGATGTTTCAAGAATGTAAAAACGTATCCTTTGGATTACAAGTCTAACAAAAAGTTTTGGATGACATCAGTTTTATTTGAAGACTATGTAAGAAAATTGGATCGGAAATTCTTCGCTAAAAAAAGAAAAGTGATACTCTTTATGGATAAATGCACAGCGCATAGTGATCTACCTAATTTGAAAGCAGTAAACTTGCAGTTTCTCCCGCCAAACACAACAGCAAAGTTGCAGCCGATGGACCAGGGTATCATAAAGTGCTTCAAACAGTCTTATCGTAAATGGCTTGTCAGAAAAATGATCTTAAATATTGTAAGCATTTAGAAGATTTGTAATTAATAAGCATTAATTAAATAATCCGACAATATTTTGAAAGTCCAAAACCGAAACTAACGGTAAGTCGAACTTCCGATATGTCGAAGTTTTTCGTCAGTCCTATCAGATTCGAGTTATCGCGAATTCACTGTATTTTGAATGTGCTTATACTTTTTTACAAAATTCAAGATTAAACTAAAATGTATCTAAATTAACAGTTTAATATACTAAAATTTAAAAAGCATTTACAAAAATATATATCAAAATAGAGATCCTGAATTTATCCCCGTTTTAACTATAATTATAGAATACCAAAACAGGGTGTTTTAAATTAACTAACTTTTGTTTTGAAATTAATTCCTTCTATATTTTTCCTAGTTTAAATGCACAAACTATTTAACTAAGAACTGTGTAAATTTTTTCCATCTTTTTAAAAGATTTGTGTCCCTTTCCAATCTTGTTTCAATAAAAAACAATTGATCAAAATTTAAGTTTAATGAGAAAAGGTGAGACACCCATAAATATAAAAGCATAAAATTATTATATATTGACGAGATATTGCCGGAAAACAATGCTCTCCACTCGCAAGATATTGTTAACCGCTTCCCTGATTATTTTGAGTTAACTCGGGTGTGCATATATTGCAAATATTTATTATCCTGAGAAAACTCGGGCGTAGAAGAACTTGTCAGTTCGTTTGGTTTTATCACATTGTTACTCTGCCAGAAGCAAAAGGTTTGTTTGTTGCCAAGTTTGGTTTATGGGGCTGCACGCGTGCTTTGTACAATTGTATATACAATGGTTACTGAATTTACAGAGAAAAAAGGGTAAAACAAAATGGCATCTCACTTCACTGGTGTATGGAAATAATCACTTTGTGTTGTTCCTTGTTTTAAAAACTATCATACAAAGACTAATATTTAACTTTTTTTAATTGCCAAGATAACTCGGAATAGTAAACTGATGGTACCTAAATTACATGTATTTTACATATAAAACAATTTTAAAATTCAACTTAAAACTTGTGTATTATGTTTTGTTTTAGTTCCTTGTATACATTAATGAAATAAAAAAAATTATTAATTTTTTGCATTTTTTTTCTTCAAAAAAATTGGTAAGGGAAAGTAAAGCAAAAGTTTGCTTTGTTATAAACTACAATGTCCTAAAACTTTTTCTTGTTTATTTTCACCTTTAGACTATGGTGAAAAGGAGAATTCTGATATTGCTGAACGATTTAGTGTTTCAAAAGAGGACTTTCCTGTTATAAAACTCTTTGTAGAAGGTAAAAGTGAACCCTATAGCTTTACAGGAAATGTTAAAGCTGATGAAATTAAAAATTTTATCAAGAAACATTCAAGTAAGATTTGTATTTTGATATTACTATATTTTGTTTTGAATTTCTTTATTTTCCTCTAAATATACTCAACCAATTTATCACAAGGGATAAAGAAAAAATTTGCTCCATTGAAAGAAAATAACTTTACTCTCTCATTTTTTAAGGAATGTACTAAACTATTCATTTGTTACCATGTAATACAGCTTACTTCTTGTATACTCTTTGTTGTTTTTGTTCCTAATCCTCCAACTTGTCTATTTAAATAGTGACATGAACTAATAACTAGTAGAATGCATATATTTAAAAATTCTGTGTTAAATTTAAAACAAATATTCTAAAAATAATTATTTTTTAAAAAATATGTAGACATAATTAAATTTGTTGCTTTCTTGTACTATTTTAAATTTAGTTTGTTTGATGTTAAACTATTCTTGTAATTCTTATTGCTATTGTATTAATCATTTTTAGTTTCTTCCATTTTGTCCAAATTTTTTCATTTTGTACAGTTTCTTTCGCTTATTGCCTGGTTATCTGGTTTTGTCCAGAACCTATTTCTTCCTGTGTCCTGGAAGAAATTGATTTCATATGGACAAAATCTCAACTCTTTTTCAAAGCATTTGAGTTTTAAGTATGAAAATCATTCCAACTCAATAAGTGTTATGCAATATTGGTGAAATAGCTAGTAAATATTTTAGACACAGTTAGTCAAAACTACAACTTAAAATAGCATTGATTCAATCAGTTATAAAATGCTAAGTAACTTTTTAAAAATATTGAAATTTTGGGATTTACGACCATTTTAAGGTCCAGTGTAATAAAATGTTGCTTTATTTTGCTTTCTTTAAATAAGGTGGCTATTTTTTAGAAAATTATATTCTAAATAGCTCCTTGATGTTTTTATGCCCTCTAAAGCAGAATAAGCATAAGCCTGTTTTAACAATGTTTCTAAAAATCTTTATTTTTAAATGCTGTTTTAAATTATAAAAAAAATAGCAACAAAATTAGTCTAAACCTACTCAGTTACATAATTTCTTTTTATTATCTTTCATAGGAGTTCGTCTTGTATTAGATAAATGCCTACCTCAGTTTGATGAGTTAGCAGAGAAATTTATGGCATGTAAAGGTAAAGATGAAATGGAGAAAGTTTTGTCTGAGGCAAAAGAACTAGCTGCTCAAGTAACTCTTGAGGTAGAAATAAAATCTGCTGACGTGTACATTAAAATGATGCAAAAAGTAATAGAAAGAGGATCTGGTTTTATTGCAAGTGAGAAAGAACGTGTTAAGAACATTAAAGATGGGAAAATAACTACAGCTAAAAAAGAAGAAATGCAAGGACGATTAAATATTTTACAATCTTTTCAATTTAAAGATGAACTTTAAATCTCATGAATTATAACTATCATTCGAATTTTATATTTGCTTGTGTATTATGTGTTTTATCTATGTGAATGGTATGTGTCGTGTAGTGTTTAATTATGCCTCTATCTTTTGTCTTTATACACTGGTTTTTTGATATAAAGTAGATTCTACTCTTGGGGTATATTGATTATTTATATTTTGTTCCCTCAAATGTTTTTAGTGAATGTCATAGTTGTGTACAGCACAAAAATAAAGGATACACCTAGGTCATATTTGCATATACTAAAAACTAAGAGCATGAGAACATACACTCTTGCAGCCATTATTTTGTGTATACCTATTTTAATCAAAAAGTATTCTGTCACCTTTGCCTTTAAATAAAAATAATTCCTATGAGTCTTCAAATTTCAAATTGCCAGTTGAAAAAAAAAGATAATTTAGCAAAATATTTATTAATGCAGATTTATTAGAGATTATTTAATCACCGCCCACCTGAAAAGTCATGAAATTCAGTATTGAACATGATTTTGGCTATTTTTTTTTAAAAAAAAATCATGGAAAGTCATGGATTTAGGTTGCCCCAAAAATCTAATTTTTAAAATGGAATTTACCCCCTCCCCCTAATTTGGTGGTGTTCCGAATATCCAAATTTGTAACAAAATCCCTACTCGCATTTTTTATTAAAATATAAAATGTTTTTATAAATATAAAATGTTTTTATCATGTTCTTTAAAAATTATGGTGTTCTTTCAAAAAATGTAAGAAAAAACGACATTTCGAGAACGATTTATCTTTTAAACTTCTGTGATTTCAGAATTTTTTTATTTTTTATTTAATCAATTAATTAATGCTAGCTGAAGCAAGCCAGTCATTGGCGGAAAAATCAGGAGTATTTCTTTCCTTTCCGATGAACAAGAAAAGTACTTGTGAAATATAATTCTGCAGAAAAAAAGGAAAAAAAACTTTTTTTTTGGCTTTTGTATTTTTTTCCAGCCATTTTATTGCTCCTACTCTTTCTTTACACTGTTTTTTAAATTCAAAATCTATTAACATGAAGATGCAGAGTATAACAGTTTTGATTATATTTATCATTTCAATTCCTATTATTACAATGATTTTTTAAATTTATTGTGTTTTTGTCGAGAGAAAATCGTAACTTAAGTCATGAAGAGTTCTTGAAATTAGTCATGAATTTGAAAATCTAAAATGTAGCAGATACCCTGTAAATCTCTTGTTTAACTCATCTAAAAGTGTAACACAATTTTTTTTTTTTGCTAATGATAAGTTGTTCTAAGAAAGGCGTGTGAAATGAACAAAAAAAAGTTCAATGAAATCACTTTATAAGCTGTTTGTATTTTGTTGCTTTTTCTAATGATGCTAGACATGAATTGAATTGTTGTATATCTCATGTTCGGAAGATCCTACTCCCCACAGCACTTATTGCTATTTTGTTTATAGTAATTGGATTAAAATTCCTGTATACTAAGTTAAATATGTTATATACACAATCTTTTCTGACTATATAATAAAGAGTGCTGACAAAGGCAAGAATAATACTTATAGGCACAATAGTGGCCTGCACACCAACTGACCAGTCTGTGGATCCTTATTGTTTATCACCTTCAATACCAGATCCTTTCAAGGTTCCACCTTGCCAACTTCAGTAGGATCACTCAAAATCCATTACATTGCTGTTTTATGTGTAAATGGGAGATATAGAAATCACAGAGACCATATTCCGGGACAAGCTAGGAACTAGGGTGCCTTAATGGGGTTAGAGCAAGACGAGATTTACGTATAAGCTAAATAAGCTGTAGCTGGGGGCCCCGAGATGAGGAGGGTCCCCAGATCCTACTTTCCCCCCCCCCTCTTTTTTTTAAAAGTATTATTTGGAGCTGGGGCCTTCAGAAGCCCAAAATGCATTTTTTTTTCTTTTTTACATTGTCGGACATAATATAAATAGATGACTGAACAGAACAAAAAACTTCGTTGTCATTAGTAGGGAACATATCATCTTTCAAGCAATTTGAGTATTAATAAATTATTTATAATTAAACAGTTTTTAGTTTAAAAGGTAAAAAAGTTGGTTTTTTTTTGCCCCATCATTCGATCATCAGACTATTTAATATCTGTTTCTAAGGATCAGAATTCCCTTTTATTTTACTTTAAAATTGTACAAATGATATATTTAATGCTTTCATGTGATATGCAGCAGTTTTAAA